ATTGCTTTTGCAAGAGGATTGCCAGCATTTGTCCATCCCTGAATCAAATACTTTGGCTCTTGGCCTGCATGGAGATGGAGTTCCTTACGCGAAAAAAGATTCCATTGAGATATATATCCTGGAATTTTTTGTCTCACCCAAGCGGCGACCGCATTCCAATAACTGCTATTTCGACAAAATATGTCGGGCCGAACACTTGGCATGCTGTGATGAAAGTCATTGCTTGGTCTTTCCGCATGCTATCTCTGGGAGTTGTCTTTTCTCGAGATCCTGATGGCGACGAATGGGATTGTCGCAGGCACTTGGCCGCTGGGTCGACCCTTGCATGCAGGGCTTTATTGCTACAAGTCCGAGGAGACTGGCCATTTCTCCGTGCACTGTTTTCGTTTCCAGCTTGGAACAGCCCTCGCATTTGCTGGAAACGCGCAGCAGCCCTCGAGGGCCCGTGCGCTTACACGTCCACAAGCTTGGCTGCGCCCTGGCGCCAAGAGAGACTGTCAGACTTCGACTTTCTCCAGTCTCTTCGGGATCAGCAGATTCAGGTAAGTCCGCTTCTTCAACTGCTAGGCTTTCGCCTGAGCTATGTGGTTTCAGACTGGCTGCGCATAGTGGATTTAGGCGTTGTTGGTGCGGACTTGATGGGACACTCGTCAGGAATGATAACTACCTGGACTAGCAGCTTTATGGCGGCTGCTGAAAGACTGGTTTTCTGAGTCGAAGCCTGCCTCGAGACTAGACAATCTGACGGAAGAGATGATAAAGCGCTCTGGCACGAACAAAAAGCCGAAGCCTCGAGCCAAGGATGCAGAGTGCAGATACATCATCAAATTCGCTGTCGACCTTTCCAGAAGCTTGCACCAAGCAGGCCCATCTAGCGCAGAAATGTCTGCCATTGCTGAGCTGTTCAATGAGCTTTGGACTTTGCAGCTGTGATTGTCCGGACCGAAAGGCAAGTATAATTCCGAGATTGCAGCTGCACACTGTCGTCGGTTCTGCCTCATGTACGAGGCCTTAAGGGCCTCTGGCAAAGGCGACAACCTTTGGCATCTCTTACAGGAACTTGTGGAATATCAGTCACATGACTACGGCTCCCCGCGCTTGTGACGAGTCCTGGCGCGGCTTCATGGCAAAAGCTAACAAAAGAGGGGGCTGCTCCGTAAGTTCCACAATAGCATTCAGATTTTTGCAGCGCTGCCAAGCCATGCAAGACTGAAGTTTGCTCCGCGTTGAGAAAAAAAGGCTAGCTTGCGCTGCGAGGTCGCAGGCTGCTGTACATATAGTCAATATTGTTAATAATCGCTGCCTTCCAACAAGGGCAGCAGGATGCTCTGAGCTCCTTCCTCAAAAGTGTTACTCAAATTATCTGGCTTCTTGCGCTGCTCCGTTGCTTCAAACGTTTCCCTTCCTTGAGCAAGTCCAAGCTAGGGCAAGACCCTGCTTTAGCAACGAATTCTTTGCTTGCAAATCTTGATTGTGATTGAGTTCTTTCTGTTGACCAGGAAGCTTGAATCTAGTCCAGGAAGCTTAAGCTGCTATCTTTTTGCTTGCAGCTTGTCCCGTTGAAGCCTGGTGCATATCCCTTCCCGCAAGTCCAAGGAAGCTTATAAGCTCCTTTCTGTTGATTGCAGTTTGGCCCGCCGAATCAGTGTCAACCCAACAAGGACTCATCGAAGCCCTGTCACGTGACGAGGATTCGTCGAATCAGTGTCAAGTTGGATCCTTGCCATCTTGGCGTGGATTCGACGAATCCGCGCTGAAACCGGCGCGTACTCGAAGGTTTCAGCGCTTGCTCGAGTGGATCAGCGCTGATCCGACACAATAACCCTACTTTTCCTTGTCAAACCAGCGCTGATTCGCGAATCAGTGCTGAAACCAGCGCTTAAAGAAGGACTGGGGTGTCTCCCGGAAGTGTCGATCAGAAGTGCAGAAGTGTCAATCAGAAGTGTCGAACAGAAGTGTTGCTCAGAAGTGTTGCTCAGAACTAGAACTGTTGATCAGATCAGAAGTGTGGATCAGACGTGTTGCCCAGAAGTGTCAATTAAAAGTGCCGCTCAGAAGTGTCAGTCAAAAGTGTCGCTCAGAAGTGTCGAACAGAACTGTTGCTTGGAAGTTTCGATCAGGATCAGAAGTGTGCTCAAAAAGTGTTGCTCAGGGGTGTCGCTCATTGCTCAGAGGCGTCGCTCAGAAGTGTCGCTCGGGAGAGCGTCGCTCGTGTCGCTGAGGTACTGTAGAAATGTTGCTCGAATTGTCGCTCAGGCAGCAGTGTTGCTGGTTGTGTGTGGCTCAGTCGTGTCGCTCAAAGTTGTTTTCAGAGTGTCGCTCAGGAGTGCCGCGCAGTGTTGCCCAGCAGTGTTGTTCAGAGGTGTCGCTCAGAAGTGTCGCTCAAAAGCGTCGCTTACATGTGTGTGTGTTTGCTCAGAAGTGTTTCTCGGAAGTGCTGGTCAGAAGCATCGGTCAGAAGTGTTGCTCAGAACTGTCGATCAAAGGTGGTCATCAGCAGTGTCGAATCAGAAGTGTTGCTCACAAGTGTTGCTCAGAAGTGTCTCTCTGAAGTATCGAGCAGAAGTGTGGATTAGAAGCATCGATCAGAAGTGTTGCTCAGAACTGTCGATTGTGGTGTCGGTCAGAGGTGTCGATCAGCAGCGTCGAATCAGCAGCATTGCTCTGAAGTGTGTGTCAGAAGTGTCGCTCAGTTTAGCAACGTCCAGCAGTTTTTCTGTGCACAGTTTGCTTGAAGCAATGATATTAGCTAGTGCTTCGCTCCCTTTTGCTAAAACAACCAGCAAAAGCTTGAACTGTAGGGTTTCGCCTCCTCGTCCTTTTTTGCCATTGGACGCTTGCTGTATGACGTTGAACTATTGTCTATGTTTGTGTTCCACTTGTCCGTTTCTGTGTGCTTCTTGTTTTCATAAAATTGCTTCTCTCATCTGCCTGTCAAATATCTTTGTTGGTCTTTCAATAATTCTGAGTGGTCGCCTCCAAACAAGTACCTTGACTTGAGGACTTGCTTCAATCTCATGTAGCGTCTCTGTTAGGTAGATCTTTGCATAAATGGGTCGTTTTTTCAGTCCAAAGTTTCAATACTGGTTGATCAATTGTAAACTTTGGGTAGTAGCCATATTGATACAATATGAGTTAGGAACCAACATTTACATTTTAACTTGTTGAACACTTCAAACCGTTTTTGTATATGGTCTACTCAAGTCAACCCCCCCCCGCCCCGCATTGAAACCCTTTGCCTTGGAAACCCTCACGCCCAGCGCCATAATTATTAGCACCATCAGAAACCGTGGGCTGATCATCGGGTTGCAAAAGTAGTTCCATCGTTTGCAAATGTAGTTGTCGTGATGGGTGAAAAAGACGCGCGCTTCAAGCAGTTGAAACTCAGAAAGCACGTGCGCGAAACTCAGAACACACCAACACACAGTTCAGAAAAGCATGGTTAGGACGATCTGGGCGGTCGGGATGTTCTTGGCAGTGGCTTTGTCGAATGGCTTGAGCGGGAAGTGGGAGTCCTGCGACTTGTATCAGAGAGGTTTGCTCAGGAATGTACCGCGGGTTTGTTTATTGGCAGTGGGTGTGTCCAGTGGTTTACTCAAGATGTGGCAGTAGGTTTGTCCAGTGGTTTGTTCGGGAATTGGCAGTGGTGAGTGGTGAGTGTCCAGGGGTTTTGTCGGAATCAGAGGCTTGTTCGGGAATTGACCTATCAAACCAAAGCAACTTTGCAGGCGCAACGGAAGGGGGAATGAAAGGCACGCAAACCCGAAATTATTTGCAACGGAGTATAATAAAGCATACAGCGCGTAGGTTCTAGTGTTGAAACATAACTAGCTTGCAATAGCCAAGTGACGTGGTCAAGTAGAAGCAGCAAAAGCATCGGACGAAGCAAACCATTTGAAAGCAAACTTAATCATCGCAACTGAAGCAGCTGGAGCCAGACACCCGGACATTTTCTTTCTTAATTTTGGAGCAGTCAAGCAAAGGAGGCTGAAAGAACCGAGCAGAAGTTAGATCTTAGTTCTATTTGAAATGTGGGTTCTCGTCCAAATGTCGCCTTGATTTGCAGACAGCGTGTACATCTTCAGACAAAAACATATACTGTTGCTGTTTCAGTGGCGAAAACCAAGAAACATACTCAAATGTATATATTATTGTCAACACGCCAGAGAATGACATCTATGTTATTCTACCTATGTTAAATTATGTGAGGGTGTGGCAAATAGTAGGCAGTGTATGAAAATCGAATTGTCAAACAGTGTTGACAATTTTTGAGCTTCTGGAAACATCCGCGTGGTTGCGTTGCAGAATTCAGGGCAAGAGAGGGACAATGGAGCAGACAAATAGGAGCGCTAGGAAACAGATAGAAGGCACGATAAGATTACACGTTACGAAGACAGCGCCGAGATCATTATAGAAGGCAACACTAGATATGGTAAGACGTGGAGAGAGAATAATAATGCTCGGTGGTTCTGTTTACGCGCGCCGCAGCGCAGTTGTTACTAGATGAGCAGGAATCCTCGTTGAACACACACATTTAGATAATGGCACGCCTTATTGTAAAAGATGTAGTTGTAGCTGCGAACAATGGGTATGCAAATGTGTTTCTTTGTATGCGTCGGAGCAAAGCAAGTAAGAATGCAGGGGTAAAGCCAAGACAACAGAACAAGCAAAAGCAACCTATGGAAGCACAAAGAATTACATGATAACATTTTTACCCTTACATGTTTTTTTTGTATCAGTACATGTTTACAATATTGAATGCACAGGACGATTCTCTTGTATGAGCCACCCCATAGTCCGATCATAGTCTATGACGAGAATGAAAGGTTTCTATCGCTGAGACTGTGTTGAAATGATTTGAATGGTAATGAGTCAGAAAGTAAACTTAACATGAACAAAATAAAAGAAACATGGGTGGCTCAGTGAAGGGTCCCCTGATGCTCGGGTGGTCAAAGAAGATGGGCAAGGTCTCTCCTAATTGTTGGCCTGTGAGATGGCAGGCCTCCGCGACCTCCGGCTCCCAAGGCATTTGTTCAAGCCGTTCGTGCACCGTCAACAGGATTTCAAACAGATGCGAATTCTGAAGCCCAGGTGACCACAGTGTGGGATCGGCAATCAGTGCCGCCGAGTTACCGGGTCCACAAGCGCTACGAGGCGTTCCAGAGCAGGTTTGCCTTCATGCTGCGGGTGCGACACAGGCGCTTTATCTTCTCGGCTTGGACGTGAGCCGTCTCCCTTCCTCATCTGAGCTACGCTCTGCGTTTGGGTCTCAAATTCTTCCTACTACGGCCCACACCCTTTGTTAAGCCGCCAGACGACGTTGGGTGGGTCCAAGGTACCGCAAAGCAGCAATGGAGTCACACCCAGACCGACAGCAGAATCACAACTGCCAGGCTGACACGAAACTCACTAATTTGACAAAACTGGTAATTCGGCAAGTCATTGAAACTGCGTGAGGATGATGCGAAGAAGCTCTTTCAGAAGGTCAAGGCGTTCGCCTTCGCTTTTCTGTGGTTCAAGACCAAACTGCCAGGACGCCTTCGATCTACTGAACGCAGCAGTGAAGTGAGGGGCTTCGTCTTCAGGCAGAGCAGCTAGCTAGAAAGGCGCCAGCTGGTTAATGAGTTAATGCAGCACGCTGCCCCAAAGTGAGGCAAGCGAACAAGCAGTGTTGATTTGTCAAGTTTGGTCAAGTGAGGAGAAAAGGTGCTAATTTGCCAGCTTCATTGACTGGGCGGAGCTCGCGCGCGCTGAAGAGCAATGCTGCGTTATTGGACCAGCCTGCAAAGCGCTCAGAAGGCGAGCCTGGCCAACGGGGAGCCAGGTAACTGCGCAACATGGCACCGCCAGTGTCACGAGGTCTCGCGTTTCGCGCCCAGACATGTTTGCGTCACGCTCAGGCCGCGCCGCGCCTTCCACGTGAGTTCCAGAAGCGGATGGAAAGCAATTCAATAACAAGCCGCAGGAGTCCAATCTGCTCAGAGACATGAGTTTGACTTATGAAAACATGGCAACGATGTTGATGCTTACGAGGTTTTCTGGCGGCCCGTGAGCTTCAAAGCTGTTTGTTCGACTCCCTCCGTTCTACTTGCAACCTTTGAATGGATTTCACCTTCACAAGGACGCTTTGGGCTTTGAGGCCGATGCACGCAAGCGCACATTCTTTGGAAGTCCAATTGTTTTGCTTTTTGTTCCGGACAAGTTCGCAAGCAAGCGGCTCCGAACTCCGCAGCGAAGTCAGGAAACGAACGCGGCGCGAAATGCTGCCCAAAATGTGTGGACAACTGGAGCATGAAGGAGGCCTTGCAAAGCACGCGCGAGTTTCCATCAAGTTGCCTCGCTGGACTTGCGACAAGTTCGAAATTGCGTTGTTTGGCTGTGCTGCAGAAGGGTTCGACCCACGCCACACAACCTATGTGCGTGCGCCGCAGTGTTTGAGCATTGGTCGAGCAAAGGCGAAATGTGGAGAGCGATTGCTGGCAGGAGTGTCCGGCGCCAAGTTTTCTGTGGGGCAGCATTTAGTCCTTAAAACAATTTCGGGGAACAGACCGTAGGTGAACAGATCGTAAGGCCCCCCAGAAAAAAGAAAACCGACAGAAACCGACAGAAACCGACAAAATCCGACAGAAATTGACAGAAATTGAAAAAACCGAATCAATTTTCATCAGTACGGCACACAATTATGTGCTACCAGTGACAGCTTTGAAAATGAATCATTAACAGCCAAAAAGTTAGTAACCAACAAACAACAACAAGCAACAAACCAACAACAAACAACACAAACACAACACGAGCAACGACGCAACAGCCAACTATACAATAACAATAACAGAAACGGACAACCAAACCTACACACACACACAGACAAAATAGAGTTTCAAAGACATGGAAAAAGCGACCGTTGAGAACCGCGAGGGACAGAGAACTTTAACGAGATAGGCCTGACAACAATTCCTCGAAAGATCTTTGAGGCATAGGACGGATAGGCCTAACAGCAAGTCCTCGAAAGATCTTTGGGTGCGCCGCCTTTCTTAGGCATAGGACGGATAGGCCTGACAACAATTCCTCGAAAGATCTTTGAGCACGATGCCTTTTTTAGGCATAGGACGGATAGGCCTAACAACAATTCCTCGAAAGATCTTTGGGCGCGCCGCCTTTCTTAGGCATAGGACGGATAGGCCTAACAACAATTCCTCGAAAGATCTTTGAGTACGCCGCCTTTCTTAGGCGTAGGACGGATAGGCCTAACAACAGTTCCTCGAAAGATCTTTGAGTACGCCGCCTTTCTTAGGCATAGGCAGGTAGGCCTAACAGCAATTTCTCGAAAGGTCTTTGAGTACGCCGCCTTTCTTAGGCATAGGGACGGATAGGCCTAACAACAATTCCTCGAAAGATCTTTGAGTACGCCGCCTTTCTTAGGCATAGGACGGATTGGCCTAACAACAATTCCTCGAAAGAGCTTTGAGTACGCCGCCTTTCTTAGGCAAAGGACGGATAGGCCTAACAACAATTCCTCGAAAGTTCTTTGAGTACGCCGCCTTTCTTAGGCATAGGACGGATAGGCCTAACAACAAGTCTCCTCGAAAGATCTTTGAGCACCCGCATAGACGGATAGCCTAACAACAATTCCTCGAAAGATCTTTGAGCACGCCGCCTTTCTTAGGCATAGGACGGATAGGCCTAACAACAATTCCTCGAAAGATCTTTGAGTACGCCGCCTTTCTTAGGCATAGGACGGATAGGCCTGACAACAATTCCTCGAAAGATCTTTGAGCACGATGCCTTTTTTAGGCATAGGACGGATAGGCCTAACAACAAGTCTCCTCGAAAGATCTTTGAGCACGCCGCCTTTCTTAGGCGTAGGACGGATAGGCCTAACAACAATTCCTCGAAAGATCTTTGAGCACGCCGCCTTTCTTCGGCGTAGGACGGATAGGCCCAACAACAATTCCTCGAAAGATCTTTGAGTACGCCGCCTTTCTCAGGCATAGGAGGGATAGGCCCAACAACAATTCCTCGAAAGATCTTTGAGTACGCCGCCTTTCTAAGGCGTAGGACGGATAGGCCTAACAACAATTCCTCGAAAGATCTTTGAGCACGCCGCGTTTCTTAGGCATAGGACGGATAGGCCCAACAACAACTCCTCGAAAGATCTTTGAGCACGCCGCCTTTCTTAGGCATCGGACGGATAGGCCCAACAACAATTCCTCGAAAGATCTTTGAGCACGCCGCCTTTCTTAGGCATAGGACGGATAGGCCCAACAACAATTCCTCGAAAGATCTTTGAGCACGCCGCCTTTCTTAGGCATAGGACGGATAGGCCTAACAACAATTCCTCGAAAGATCTTTGAGCACGCCGCCTTTCTTAGGCATAGGACGGATAAAACAATTCCTCGAAAGATTTGAACGCCGCCTTTCTTAGGCATAGGACCAAAACAACAACAAATTCCTTCCTCGAAATATCTTTGAGTACGCCGTCTTTCTCATAGGCATAGGACGGCTAGGCCTAACAACAATTCCTCGAAAGATCTTTGAGCACGCCGCCTTTCTTAGGCATAGGACGGATAGGCCTAACAACAAGTCTCCTCGAAAGATCTTTGAGTACGTCGCCTTTCTTGGGCATAAGACGGATAGCCCTAAAAACAATTCCTCGAACAGATCTTTGAGCACGCCGCCTTTCTTAGGCATAGGACGGATTGGCCTAACAACAATTCCTTGAAAGATCTTCGAGTACGCCGCCTCAAAATAGGCCTAACAACAATTCCTCGAAAGATCTTTGAGTACGCCGCCTCTCTTTGGCATGGGAGGGATAGGCCTAACAACAATTCCTCGAAAGATCTTTGAGTACGCCGCCTTTCCTAGGCATAGGACGGATAGGAAAAAACAATTCCTCGAAAGATCTTTGAGCACGCCGCCTTTCCTAGGCATAGGACGGATAGGCCTAACAACAGTTCCTCGAAAGATCTTTGAGTACGCCGCCTTTCTTAGGCATAGGACGGATAGGCCTAACAACAAGTCCTCGAAAGATCTTTGAGTACGCCGCCTTTCTTTGGCATGGGAGGGATAGGCCTAACAACAATTCCTCGAAAGATCTTTGAGTGCGCCGCCTTTCTTAGGCGTAGGACGGATAGGCCTAACAACAATTCCTCGAAAGATCTTTGAGCACGCCGCCTTTCTTAGGCGTAGGACGGATAGGCCGAACAACAATTCCTCGAAAGAGCTTTGAGTACGCCGCCTTTCTTAGGCATAGGACGGATAGGCCTAACAACAAGTCTCCTCGAAAGATCTTTGAGTACGCCGCCTTTCTTAGACATAGGACGGATAGGCCTAACAATTCCTCATACAGATCTTTGAGTATGCCGCCTTTCTTAGGCATAGGACGGATAGGCCTAACAACAATTCCTCGAAAGATCTTTGAGTACGCCGTCTTTCTCAGGTGTAGGACGGATAGGCCTAACAACAGTTCCTGGAAAGATCTTTGAGTACGCCGCCTTTCTTAGGCATAGGCAGATAGGCGTAACAGCAATTCCTCGAAAGGTCTTTGAGCACGCCGCCTTTCTTAGGCATAGGGACGGATAGGCCTAACAACAATTCCTCGAAAGATCTTTGAGTACGCCGCCTTTCTTAGGCATAGGACGGATAGGCCTAGCAACAACTTCTCGAAAGATCTTTGAGTACGCCGCCTTCCTTAGGCATGGGACGGATAGGCCTAACAACAATTCCTCGAAAGATCTTTGAGTACGCCGCCTTTCCTAGGCATAGGACGGATAGGCCTAACAACAATTCCTCGAAAGATCTTTGAGCACGCCGCCTTTCCTAGGCATAGGACGGATAGGCCTAACAACAGTTCCTCGAAAGATCTTTGAGCACGCCGCCTTTCTTAGGCATAGGACGGATAGGCCTAACAACAATTCCTGAAAAGATCTTTGAGTACGCCGCCTTTCTTAGGCAAAGGACGGATAGGCCTAACAGCAATTCCTCGAAAGATCTTTGAGTACGCCGCCTGTCTTAGGCATAGGACGGATAGGCCTGACAACAATTCCTCGAAAGATCTTTGAGTACGCCGCCTTTCTTAGGCATAGCACGGATAGGCCTAACAACAATTCCTCGAAAGATCTTTGAGTACGCCGCCTTTCTTAGGCATAGGACGGATAGGCCTAACAACAATTCCTTTGAACGCATGTTTGATAGTTGCTTCGCGCTTGCGTCAGATTTTTTTGGGCAGTACAGGGCACTCTGCCGGACAAACTCCGAGATATTGCCGGTCTAGGATTCACATAACAAAGTGGCACAAACAAGTTTGTTGCGCAAAGGAAACCTCTCGGGTTAGTAGGCAGCTTAGCAGACGCGTTTGCTGGCAGAGAGACATGTAGCATACGCGATTGCTGTCAGAGAGTTGTGTGGCAGACGCGTTTGCTCTTATGTAGCAGACGCTTTCGCTGTCAGAGAGTAATCTAGCAAACGCGATTGCTGCAAAGACTTATGTGGCAGACGCGCTTGCGGTCAGAGAGTTATGTGAATGTAGCAGACGCGCTTGCGGTCAGAGAGCTATGTGAATGTAGCAGACGCGCTTGCTGTCAGAGAGTTATGTAGCAGACGCGCTTGCTGTCAGACAGTTATGTAGCAGACGCTTGCTGTCAGAGAGTTATGCAGCAGACGCGTTTGCTGTCAGAGAGTCATGTAGCAGACGTGCTTTCTG